TTGACCTTTTTTGGTTTAGTTTACTACTTTCTTGACCTCTATCAATTTTAACCTTGACCTCTTCTGGTTCAGTTTACTACTAAACTGACGTATATCCATTTTAACCTTGATCTCTTCTGGTTCAGTTTACTTCTAACCTGACCTATATCCATTTTAACCTTGATCTCTTCTGGTTCAGTTTACTTCTAACCTGACCTAAATCCATTTTAACCTTTATCTTTTCTGGTTCAGTTTACTTCCTTACCTGACCTATATTCATTTCCACCTTGATCTCTTCTGGTTCACTGTCCTCACTCTCCTCCCAAAAGTCACTTTCAGAATCCAAATACTCCTCCTCAGATTCAGGCTGGTACTCATCAGAAGAGGACAGAAAATCTCCATCAGAACTCATTTCCCCCTGACAAGATAAACCAGAAGTCTCTGTCAAGACTGTAGCTTTTTTATACATATAACAAAGTAAGAGAAAAGTAGCAATTTGGACTTGAAACTTTAAAACAGCAATAAACAGAATAATGATCCTTGCTTAAGTCACTTTGTGGCAATATTGCAATAAGACAACTTTCGGGGTAGCTTTTAAAAAAATTTTAAAGAATTTTCAATTTTAGTTACCATGGCAACATCATTCATCAAAATAAATTTAAAAAACAATAAAGACAATAATGTTTCCTAATGTAGTCTACCTGAATGCCACATTATATCATAATCAAACTAAAACTGTATTTGTGATAGCATTTTAAAATTATTTTATGGAAATTTCTATTTTTAGTTACCATGGCAACAACGTTCATCGAAATCAAACATTGATGCACAGAAATATGTATCTTAATATAGTCTACGTGTGTGCCAAGTTATATTGAAATAAGACCAAAACTGTAGGTGGAGTAGCATTTAATTTGAAGGCATTTCACAGAATGTCCTTTTTTTAGTAACAATGGCAACACTGTTCACCGAAATCAAAAACTGACGCACAGAATTATGTATCTTAGTATAGTACACGTGTGTGCCAAGTTTTATTGAAATCAGATCATGGCACGGTACCAAATGTAACGGGAGAGGAGAAAATGCAGTGGACCAGACAGGGATTCAAACCCGGGCCCCCTGAACTTCGTTCAGATGCTCTACCAACTGAGCTATCTAGCCACCAGCGATCAAACCCAGCTGACCGTATTATTCCTCCCTCCTTAAAGGTCTTTGGCCCTCCAAAGACCCAACCCAGGCTCATCCCTGGCAGGTCTTTCACCTGTCAATTCCAGGGCATGGCATAGCACGGCACCAAATGTAAAGAGAGAGGAGAAAATGCAGCGGACCAGACCAGGATTCAAACCCCGGCCCCCTGAACTTTGTTCAGGTGCTCTACCAACTGAGCTATCAAGCCACCAGCGATCGAACCCGACTGACTACCACATTTGCTTTAATTGGATAACATGGGATGTTGATTGTTAATTAAAATGTTTTCTGACTGTGGCTTTATTCAATTTGTTGTGTGAGGTCATTGACATCATGTCAACATTTGTTTCAACAGTCCAGTATTTTTTTTTATAGTATCAGCAATAAAACTATACTTAAGAAAAGAAGAAGGTGCTTTTTTTTTTCAAATGCATGAGAGTAATTAGCATATCATTTCTATAAAACACATTCTATTTAGAATTAATCCATGCTTGAACAGAACTGGGAAAAATACACCTTGTATGAGCTATGTTAGGGGTGAAACAGTTCACTGCAGTATAAATTCATACAGCGGTATTTTTCCTCAGTTTGATAAATGGTTCAAAATCTCCATTTCCAGTTCGGTTAATTTTTCAACGGGATCATCATTCAGTCGAGTTTGGCATAAGGTATAAACATGTTTCTCAGTATAATTAATTACAAAAAAAAAATCATTTTTTTTGTAAACTAATTTTTAACAGTCAAATCAATTAAATTAAATTTCACCTAGTCAGTTTGCACATAAACAAGAGGCCCAAGGGCCTTGAATCGCTCTTCTGATAAATTATACAATCTATCCTAAGACCCAAGATGCATCAACTGACAAAGTTTGATGATTCTTGGCCAGTTAGGGCTGAAGATATATAAATGTAACTATAAAATACTATAAGTAGGTCATGGTGACCTACTTTTTGATTGAAATTTTCTGAGGACACAAGATGCATTAATTGACAAAGATTGATGATTCTAAGCCAATAAGTACTTGAGATATTCAAAAGTGGGTCACGGTGACCTACATATTGGTCAACATTCTCCGAAAACCCAAGGTGCATCAACTGACAAAGTTTGACAATTCTAAGCCAATATGTACCCTAGAATACTTAAATATAGCCATAAATGTCACAAGAAGGTCACCGTGACCTATTTTTTGATCAGCATTCTCCTAGAACCCAAGATGCATCAAATAACAAAGTTTGATGATTCTAAACCAATAAGTACCCGAGATGCCTAAATTTAGCCATAAAATGTCAAAAGTAGGTCACAATGACCTACTTTTTGGTCAACATGCTCCGAAAACCTAAGATGCATCAAATGACAAAATTTGATTATTCTAAACTAATTATTACCTGAGATACATAAAACTAGCCATAAAATGTCAAAAATAGGTCACTGTGACCAACTTTTTGGTCGACATGCTCCAAACACCCAAGATGCATCAAATGACAAAGTTTGATGATTCTAAGCCAATAAGTACCTGAGATACTAAAATATAGCCATAAAATATCAAAAGTAGGTCACCGTGACCTACTTTTTGGTCGTTAATCTCCGAAAACCCAAGATGCATCAACTGACAAATTTTAATGATTCTAAGCCAATTAGAACCTGAGATACTTAAATCTAGCCATAAAATGTCGAAAGTAGGTCACAGTGACCTTCTTTTTGGTCGACATTTTCTGAAGACCAAAGATGCATCAACTGACAAAATTTGATGATCATAGGTCTAATAGTATTCAAAAAATGCCTTTTAAACAATTTGAAAATAATTAAATGCCTGCAAAGTTCAAAAAGTAGGTCAAAGTGACCTACTTTTTGATAAATATGTTTTAAGGCCTCTAGATGCATCAACTTACAAGATTTGGTGATTCTAAACCTCGGTGTCTGAAATAATGGGATTAAATGTTTTGGAAAAGATTAGCCATAAAATTCAAAAAGTAGGTCAAGATGACCTACTTTTAAGTTGATGTTGTTTGTGGACCTAAGATGCACCAACTTACAAAGTTTTATGATCATAGGCCTTAAAGTGTCCAAAATATACCTCCAAATCAATTTGAAAACAAAAGCCCGTAAAATTTAAAAAGTAGGTCACCATGACCTACTTTTGTATTAACATGATGTGAAGTCCTGAGATGCATCAACTTACAAGATTTGATGATCCTAGTCTTTATAGTAAGCAAAATATCAACGTTTTTAATAAGTGTAAATTTTGGTCAACTTTGAAGTGACCTTGAGACCACGCCCTTTGCCCCAGGGTCATGCCTTGAACAATTGTATATAAGTTTGGTGAAAATCTGCCTGGTGGTTCTGGAGAAGAAGATTTTTTAGCAACCAGTACTTTTGGTTTTATTTTCGTGATTATCTCCCCTTGTTTTAGGGTCCCACTCCCTAATTTTAGTATAAATGGTAGCCCTTGGGCCAAGGATACTCTGTGACAAATTTGACAATAATTGGCCAAGGGGTTCTTGAGTAATGGTCCATATTCTAAAAAGTTAAAGCACACCGCACACCACACAACGCACACCACACAAATGGCCATAGCATTAGCTCTTTGAGCCTTTGGCTAAGAACTTAGAAGAGCTAAAAATGTGACTAAATTAAGTCAAGAAAGCATTTCACCCCTAAACTATGTCATATTTTTTTCACAGCTAATTCCAACCTTTTCTTTTTAAAATTTTTCCCTTTGAAGTTTGTTCCTGTTTTACTTGTAAATAAATTTCTTCTGACCTCCATCTCTTCAGCCTGGCTGTCCACTCTCTTATCACGGAGGGAGCAAGGGGACTTTACTGGACTGACCACTGTGTCCGAGTTATACACGGTGACGATCATCGGTGTAAACTCATCATCTTTATCAAGGTACACATCTGGCTGTCCAGTTCTACGCCACTTCTTTGAAGACATGCTACCAACCAACAATATTATAAAGACTGTAATGTTCTGCATGTCATTGGTTCATTGATATAAGACCTTCACGATACTTGCCCAAACATTATTTTAATATATCCCATTTTCTTTTTTCAATTAAGAACTATTTGCCAAATTGAAAGATATACATGTAGATCTACTCAAAAAATAATGACAGACTAGCTTAAGATCATCCTTTCTTGTAAGTAACCAACATTAAACATCCTTCAGTTATGCAATTTACATAAACATCATGCAACATCAGCATACCATTAAGTCAAATTATGCCCAGTCTAACTAAAAACTGAATTGGTATCTGAACTCATCCTAAAATATGGTAGCACCATCAACATACGTATTGTAAAACTGGCGCGTCAGCTAGTTCTCCTGAACTCTAATATTTATTGTGCGCTAACTGAAAAAAGATATCAAAATGAGACTGAATAGAACACAAAATTTTCATAATTGTTTTTCATAAAATGACTGAAAATATTTTATGGGACCTTATTCAGAGTAAATTCAATTAGCCCTGTCACAAAAAGTGTGATGCTACCCTTTTGCAGGGCAAAATGATACATTTGATTGAAATACCTTAAAACAATTGTTTAATATACATTTATGTAATTTATTTAATTAATATCTTTCAACAAAATTTTTGCAAACATAATTTATTTTCCTTGCAAAACAGTTGCCTGTTGTTATTGTGTAAGGGCTAACTCATAAAATAACATGATAAACATTTATATCTTTTCTGTTGAAATTCTACAGAGTTTATGACAGAAATAACAATAATTTATATATATAATCAATATTATCGTGGTTTTCTGGTGTTGGTTAGTTTGTTTTTTAACGAAGATCTACTGGATATGACAGGAGTTACTGTTCTTGCACTTTGAGGTACACATAAGCGGGTTTGACTTCACTGTATTACAGTGGGTGCACTTGTTTCATAAGCCAGGTCAAGCCGGTTAATATTCACGAAGCGGGCAAGTCACTTGTTTCAAATATTTTTAAGCCGCCGGGCGGTCAGAAAGTAGCCCGGATCGCCCGAAAAATTTCGAGCGGCCAAATGAAAAGCAATATGGCGGAAAACGGAGGTAGAAATGTTACTGATGGTGAAACATTCGTTTTTTATCATTTGCTGTACACCCATTCTCAATATAACGGCTCAAATAATGTCGCCTCGTTTTCATTTAGAAGAAATACCACTGATGTAATTTTTAAATCAACATTATAAATAGTCTGTTAACAATGAATAAGAATTCATTATAATTATCGATCTGAAACGGTATTTAAGGAGTTCAAAATTCGAATATAGTAGCCTATTTGAAATGTACGTTACTGTCGCCGAGGCAAATATTATGCTGAATCCCCTCTGTGTAATATATAGTTTTGATTCTCAAGTAAAACTTTTCTGATAAGTTGAACCTTGTGTCATATATATTTCTTTTCATAACAATGAATACATTTTCTTTGTGATAATAAATAATTTTTACTGTGCTATGTCCCTGTCGCTTAATTCTATTTCAACCACATTACAAGCAAACACAAAGATTTTACACCTGATAGTTTTGTTCTCCTTTATTTATTGATGGGCTAAATTTGAAATTTCAAAGGGTTAATTACTCCTACTTAGATAATGTAACATGAAATTGAACAATTTGAGCAACTTTTATAAATATGTTAAGGGAATGAAAGACATTTTCAATCGTAGAGATAAGAAAGAAATGTACGTTACCTATATTCTTCCATTAAGAATATATATTAAGTAGAAAATATGAGACGACTCTGAATAAGCAACCCCTTGTATCCTGTAAACTGGCAAAGACGTTTTGCTTAACACAATTAAAAATTATTTTTTACATAAAAAGTGATCATTTGAAATGTACGTGACTGAAATGTACGTTACCATGAAATTCGAATTAAGTGAATCTCGCATGAATTTTCGTGTATTCTCATACTTTCGCACACTCAAATGTGTACACAAAGGAAAGTTTCAAAGTTTGGAGATCGGCTAAATCCCAAAATTAATGAAAAGAAACGTTTCTGCTGAGTAAAAAAAAATATATTAAGGTCAATTATATGTAATATAATTTTGATACCTGGAATATATTTCTGAATACGAAACCTGTATGATGCATTTCTAATGATATGCAAGTTCAAATAGTATCAATATTTTGCGTGTCTAACGTACGCTTGTGGAAGAGAGTTGATTTTTATATTTGAAATGTACGTTACGTATGGTAACGTACATTTTGCGCATTTCTAACTGACATTTTTTTTATTTAGTCAATGAATTGCGTTTACACGAGCGAAACAAAATTATCGTTACAATCCATTTGACAACTGACCACATAAATCCATCTTAGAAATGCACCCCAATCCTCGTAAATGTGGTAGACTGTTACCACATGCTAGAAAATTTATTTCTAAGTGTCTTAAATTCATCTTTAGCAACCTTTTTGCAGTTTGTTTACTTTTATTATGTGACTTTTCGTCAATTTTAATTTAATTGTTGTTGGTAATTTTAAACAAGGTATGCATAGGCTTATAATTGGTAAAAAAAACAAAACAAAACAAAAAGAAAAAAGAAAAAGAAACAAAACAAATAAATCTAGAACACAAGACGGTCACGTACATTTCAAATACTGAAAAGCACACAATACTCAGTTTTGTTTGAATCATTGCATTTTGGTTTATATTTTTCCAGATCTGCTGAAAAGTACGTATGCTTGTGTTTTGACAAAGATGTGCAACATACTAAATAAAATTGTTAACAAGACTGTCGATGGATATATTCGGAATAGATTTATGTTAAGTTTCAATGGCCAAACACAAGTATTTATTAGATCATAGCAAAATACGTCTGACTCTTATTTTTTTTTGTCTGTACCCTTGCACACAGGTAGAAGTAACAAGGCTACGACCGGTGTCAATTTTAGCGAAACAGCACAAAAGAATGGTAATGAACTGAGATGGAGGAGACTCCCCAATAATATGTGAAATGAACGTTACCGAAGTGACGTGACATTCATGTAGTTGATGACAAATAACCACGTTTGTTACATTATGATTTCTTATATCACTGCGTTAAAACAATTTTTATGTCAATAATTGCTTTTTTCTTTATTTTCTTATTACTAATTTACAAATTATTACAAGCTTGAAATGTACGTTACCTACTCATATTCTGAGGCAATCGTGTCTTTTATAGTTGTGATTGTGACATATAACACAATGTGATTACATAGAGAATCTTTTTTGGAATAAACTGAAACAAAACGATGAATTTTTAGATGAATTTTAAGCTTTTTATTAAACAGAAATATATCTTGAAATGTACGTTACATTTACGTAGTTGTCTAAATCGGCATGGATATGTTAAAAAAGACAGTAACTACAAAATAGAGTTTTACTACATGTACATGTGAAGTTCCACTATCTATAGAAAATGACAAGATTCCAAACTATTCGCTCTAAACAAAACAGAGAGAAGAATTTAAAGCATATATTTAAAAAAATGTTTTTATACATCTGGATCAAAAAGTAACCTTTGTTTTTTTTAAAGGAAAAATCAAACGCACGTTCGTATGCCGAGAAAATATGTTGCTGACAGAGTTGGTAGGATGTGCTGGTGTTAAGATGAGATATTCCAATTGTGATTTTAATGACTGCATTTTTTTTTTACATATCTTTTTGGACATTGAAGAAAGAGTAACGTACATTTCAAGCTACATTTCTGAATAAAATCACCCTCTACTTTACCGTCTTGTCATTATTCCATGTATTAAAATTTGATGAAAAAAAACCTGGAAACAAAATCTTCAGATACTTTCTTTCAAAGGTAATTGGTAGAAAAATTGTTATCTTGAACTTTATTTTTTAAAAAATCAGAGAGGCATTTGTGCCCTTATATTGAGAATGGGTGTGTAGACTCAGTGTCAATAAAAATACAGTACTGAGATAATAAGTGACTTTTACAACATATTTGTTTATATTTAACGACCAATACTCTTTTTTTTAATTTTAAAAATAAAGCTCAGCAGCTTTTCAGTTCTGTGGGTAACAAGGCCCTATATGCCCTAAATTTACAGATTGTACATTGAATGGATGTAGTAAATATTAAAACAAAACATATTAGGCCTAACTAAATCGTTCTCGTGCGTTTAGAGAAATATTTTTACAACAACAGCACCAATACGAGCCATATCCGGCTTATTTTTCACTCGTTTCAGAGACACTAACCGGGTCAATATGTCATGTGATAAAAGTGAACCGGGTCATCGCCCGGCTGTCTGAAACAAGTGCGCCCAGAGTGTATCAAGCCTATGCTATAGAGATACATGTATGCAATGATGCATGGAATCAACATGCAGAAGAGGTTCATCTCCTTGCCCTCTTATTAGACACCAGATACTTACTTAAATAATGCAAAGAAGTTTGTTTAACTTCTGCAATTTACTTGAACTGACTGCTTCATTTTAATAAAGGGATGGAGCCTTGACTGTGTAAAAAGCCGCCAAGTGGAAAGAGGTACTCGAACCCGATTTTAATTAACAGAAGCTTCAGAGAGGCAAGCCAGTCTATAGAGCAGCGAACCATGTATTGTCATTTAAAATGTTAATGTGCAGAATTTATATTCTTACTTACATATAAATACGAGGAACTGCAAAAGTTCTTCACACAAACTTATGAGAAAATGCAAAAATACGGCAGTCAAAGGTATATAGTCCTATAGTCAGTTATTTTTTATTTTTATTTTATTAAAACCACATGTGGCGCAAGTCATACATACAGTAAACAAATATAAAATATATAGTCACATAGATTTTCTTATATTACATGCATCATGTATGAAGTTACAAATATTTCTTGTAGAACTAACATCTGCTGGATTAAGAATTTCATAAGATATATATGTATTATTAAAAAGTGTACAAAATTCACTTCTTAGTTGTTTATATAGAGGACATACAAATAAAAAATGATGTTCATCTTCAACGACATTTTACAATTAATACAAAATCTTTCATCTCTTGGTATAATTGGGTTACAATATCTGCCAACCTCTATCTGTAATTTGTGAGCACTTATTCTCAATCGAGTCAAAAAAGAACGAAGATTCTTGGAAATGGAAAAATTTAAGTATGGTTGAATTTCAAGTTTGTTTAGATTCCCTTGACTTATTAAGTTATAAGTATAGTCCATAGGCGTAGTCACGGGGGGGGGGGGGGGGGGGGGGCAGCGGGGGCCCTAGCACCCCCCCCCCCCCCCCCCCCCCCCGCCCCCCCCCCCCCCCCCCCCCCCACCACACTTTCAGATCGGGGAGGGAGGCAGGATTATGTCTGTCCCCCCACCCCACGTTTTAATGAAGAACAAAATCACAGCTTTTTCCCCCCAACATTACCTTTACTATAGGAAATGTTCACTGAAGGGATAGTTGACCCCCCCCACTTTTTGACCCTAGTATACTAGTTATATCGAAGAATTGTGGAAAAAAAAATTGGATTTGAAAGTAACTTGCCTTTGAGAAAGTTGGCCACTAACACCCTCCCCCCCCCCAAATAGGATTTTCGAGTTTGGGGAACTTTCAATTTTTTTTTTTGCTTGTCAAAGAATTTCTGGTGTTGAGCCCCCCCCCCCAACTTTTAAGTTTGTGACTACGCCTCTGTAATAGTTTAAGACCGTATATCACCCAGATAGTCTTTTGTCACTTTTAGCGCTCACTTAGAATAATTTAAAAAAATAATAAAGTACACAATTAAACCTTAAGTTTATGTATATATACACAAACATTAACAAGATGATGGAGAAAAAAATAGAGAAGACCCATGGGCCAGATTGCCGACCTGAGCTTTTTGGAACCTTAGAGAAAAGCAAAACTATGTCCAGTTTTGAAAAAAAAAAAATTAAATGTATAAGTGGTCCAAACCTAGCTGGAAGGGGCACAGGAGGAGTCATGATTAACAAAAACGAATCTACACTGAAGAACTTTTTCTTCTATATAAACTCTCTGGTCTTCTATTTAGGCCTCGCTATACCACCAGAGGTCAAGATTTTATTAGCTAAATTTAAATCTTCACTACCCGAGCTTTCATGTAAATATAAATAAGTTTGAGGTGGCTGATAATATTGAGAAAATGAAAAAGGCCGGTAAAAATAATTCTCTCAGGTGGTGCCCTGAAAAAATTAAGACTCAACCGCGACTCGAACCATGCAGGCCCTCTATCGATCTGGCGTACCGTTAGTTACAATAATCTAACTGTGTCTCGGTACAAACTCTCACCACAGTTAGAATACGTCCCATATACTTTCAATGTAGCAAATCGGAAGCAAATGTCCTGCAAACAAGTACCTGTGGTAAGAGTGTGTAATTAACAAAACATAAAGGCCTTGCTGTATAAAAATTTGATAAGTGATAAAACAACTAAAATCATCTTTTTAATTTGGTTATTAAAATACATCATGTAACGTGTTTAGGGATCGTACCTGGTTGATTTCAAGATCTCGGTAAAGATTGATATTTACAATAAATAATTTTCCTCTTAAAAATAACAATAATTGGATAAAATGATTGTCCTGCAAATATATACAAATAAGGTCCTTTCCTTACTTAGGGGAAAATCACACTTGAATGTCGGCCTAATATTTACAAAAATAACGGTTCACCCAATGGTACCGGACCGACACCAATATTGCCTTACTCAGGCTTATAGTGTCAGTCACGACGCTAAGTCCAATCTCCTAGCCTCTGACAACAGAAAATACTGAATTCTTTATTCAGGACGCACAGTCTTCCACTGTTTTCAGAGACTTACACTATTCTAAAAGCTTACCAGGTAAGCCGCAAGGGGTTGACTTTCCTCTAAATGGTTATATATAGTCACACAATAATACAATACAAGTACCTATTTATTGTGGTTAGCCTTCGTTGTCAGACAATCCACCCAGTATTGTTAAATAGTTGTGGCAAGCCTCAGTATTTGGCAATCCACCAAACTAAACATATTTTATCTCCTGAAATTGAGTCTTCTTCCCTCTGCTGCTTGGACTAAAAGAACCCCGTAGCTTAGCTGCGCTTGCTTATATAGCTTTGTTTAAGGTCACATGATCAGCTTCAGCCAATCACAGATCCTCAACGGCCGACTTGCATAATTGGAATACACAAAGTCTAAAGCGTTACATTACCCACCCCTTCGATGACATGCGGGTCGCATGTAAACCAAAGAAAAATATTACCAAAGATTTTTTTTAATGTAAGCCAATGATTAGATCTACAACGTTGCTTTACAGTGTAGATACTACAAAGTGAACAATTATATATTTTACACAATACCATTCATGAAACGTTAGCATCAAACACAGTTTTTTCTTGCATTACAAATTAAACACAATTTTTCCTTTGTGACTACCTTTGTGTCAACATTATCGTTTCTGAATCTCTTGATGGTTTTGGTAGTGATGAGTCGTTTTAAAGGCCCTGCCTGAGTTCCCACATCTGCTTTCCTCTGAACAACGGCCCACTGCTACTCTCTTTACCAGGGTAATTTGTACTGCATTTTCTTCCTCGCTGTCCCTTTTGTCACTCAACTGTTCCTTAATAGCACAAGGTTTTCTCTGTGACGCCACTGGTAAGAAGGCGGTTGGTTTACGAAATATTCTTCCTTGCAACAGGTTGTTCTCTGCCTCTTTTTGCAGGGATGGGCTCCACCTGGGGTATCGGGTCGTCGCCTTCACTGCTGTGCGACAGGTCTCCAATAAGATCTCCAGGATCTTGGTTAAGCCAGTCATCATCCTGTTCTTGTATCGGTTCGTCTCTACTCACACCGTCACTTCCACCATCTTTAATTCCAAGCATGATAAGTTTGCCATATTGGGAGATACCAGGATTGCATCTTTTCACGTGCCTCTTGAGGTTACTCTACTTAGTATTCTTAAAGTCACATGTTAGGCACTGAAAGGTCCTCATGACACAAGCAAGGACATGGTCTCTGTACTTCCCTTCACTGTTTGCCGAGAAAGAACGAACATAGGACAACGTCGAAACTCTTTATTTGGTGTTGTCTTCGTCTTCGCCATTTGAAAAAAAAAGAAATTAAAACAATTTTTAAAAAATATATATATATACACTGTACATAACAGAACTGTTCAACTTTCATTCATTAAAAATACATCTAGATACTTATTTTTCAATATAATACCTGGTAATCATGAAGCCAAGTAGGTGGTTTAGTTACTCATTTCGGACGACCATTGCTAGTATAAGTAATTGACGTTTCGTTGTTAGTGTCATTTAGATTTTCTTGTAACAACTGGTCTTTCTCAATCTGTGGAGGATCTTCTCCAGAAAGTGTTTGAGGATATTTCTTGCGCATGCGGTCTACATGTATACTTGTTCTGAACCTCGAGACCCACAGTTCACCAAATACATGTACATGTAGTTTACATCAGAAATCTTTTTGACAACTCTAAATGGGCCCTGCCAATAGCTTGTAAATTTGGGTGAGGTTCCAGGCTTTCTGCGTGGAAAGAAAACATACACTTCCTCTCCAGTACTGAAAGTTTTCCACCTCAGTTTACTATCATGGAAGTGCTTTTGAATTACACCAGTGTTTTCCCTGACTATATTATGGGCTCTCTCACGGCGTTCTTGAAACTCCCATACCTATTTGTTTGAGGGTGTTTCTTTAATTTTACTCGGGATTTCGTACATAAGATCCAGAGGGGTTGTGACTTTACGCCCCAACATCAGTAGTTAGGAGTTACTCCAGTAGTTTCATGAACGGAAGACCTGTAAGCCATTGTTATATATGGCAGGTTGACGTCCCAATCTGAATTATGTTCATTTACGAAATCCACTGAGCATTGCAGTTCATGTTCTATTAAACCGCTTAACCATACCATCCAATGGTAGGGAGTGGTACGAGTCTTCTGAACATCTAATAACTGGCACATTTCTCTGAAATGTTGGCTTTCGTACTGTGGACCCTGATCCGAGTGTATTACACCTGGGACACCAAATCTTGTCATCACTTTCTACTATTTTACCAGCGACGGTCTTGGCTTTCATATTGGGCATGGAGAAGCACTCTGTCCACTTGGTAAAATAATCGGCTACGACTAAAATATATCGGTTTCCACTTCGGTCTCTGGTAACTCACCAAGTATGTCAGTGGCTATCCTCTCCATAGGGCATCCAGAACATACTATTTGCATTGGCGCTTTATTAGACATAGAAGGCCCTTTTCTTTTTGTGCATACTTCACAACCTGCTATGTATTGTTAAACACCTTTTTGTAAACCTGTCCAGTAGTACGATTGTCTAATCTTTGCCAGTGTCTTATGTATGCCAAGATGTTCAGCTGTTCGATCGTCGAGACAGAACTTAAGAATTGTTCTTTTTTCCTTGCTGGGAACTATAATCTGCTTTTTCTGCTTTACCAATTCATCCCATTTCCTGTAGAGAATACCGTCATGCAAAG